ACTAGACGAGATGAGAAACTACAGTGCAACCTCTCTATAATGAAATCGTCGAGACCAGAAAAAAAAGAAGTTGTTATAGAGTATAGAGAGTTGTCGTTATAGAGAGGCAACCAAAAATATTACTTTCTAATGATATAATATTTATTATAAGGAAAAAATTGGGACCTGGGCACCATGTCGCTATACACAGGATGTCGTTATATGGAAGGTCGTTATAGAGAGGCTGCACTGTATTATTTCGATGGAGGGAAATTGTTCTTGTAGCTGTGGATTGTGACATGAAAAGAGGTAGTACTAAAATAACTCAGTCAAAGCAGATGCATTATAACGCACTAACTACGATTTGAATTGTCGTTTTTAGTATTTTGAGAACACCACGACAAATGACGACCCTCAACTATGCTGCTGTAAGCTGACAAAACGCCTTTTTGTCATTTTGGTCCCAAAATCTTTTATTTGCTAAATCGAAAGTGAGATCAGTTACCCTACTTGTGGGAAATACTCAAATTGGAGGAACAGCGACTACTTTTTGAATAAATTCCAATTCAAATTTCGGAATGACTCAATTTTCAACCGGTGTGCTGACCAAAAAAACCCTCTTTTTCTAAAAACTGCTGTGAAGAAAAAAAAGGAGATTTGTCAGCTTACGGTAGTATGGGAAAAGTCAGATCAGTACAGTAACTGTAACTGAACTCTTTAAACCCCATCAGACGCTGGGAGTGCCCGGCGGTAATAACTCCCCATTGGACATAGGCCTACTAGTGACAACTGTTTTGTTTCATTTAGTGTTAGTTTCTTCTTGTTTTTCGGAACTATTCCCGATCCAAGTTCTTTTTTAGTCATGACTAAGCCCTTGTTTCTGCCATTGGAAGTTGGAGGCAAGCTTTTGGGGTTATAATGAGACTAAGTGAACCAGGTTTAGGTGACTGTAGAAAAAACTCTGGGAAACTGTGGAACAAACTCAGGGTAACTGTAAGTTAAGCAGCCGATGTCTGTAGCAGTCTGAGGAGTTTGTTAGCACAGGTCGCGACCCCGTTGACGGCCGCCGTGCTGGGTCGGTTGGACAGCGCGGTGCCAGGTCGCGACCCCCCGGTGTAAGGTCGCGGGGTCGTGGGGTCGTTCCTCGGGGTCTGAGGGCTGAGCAGAGCCGAGAGTTTGTCCACAGCGTTCAGGGACATGAGGTCCTGGGGGGAGAGAGAGCATCAGGGAAATCTGAGAGAATTTCTTTGGTTAGAGTAAAAATAATTAATAATAATAATTATT